CCTCGCTCAAAAGTGCCTAGCTAGAAATTAATAATATAAATTAAATTTTATTTAATTTAATATGTGTAACGTGTAATATATTGTTGAATTTTAAATACACTATACAAGTATATAATTAATTAATTTTCAATTTAATAACTATTAAGATTATTATTAATTATATTAAAATAGTTATAAATTTCTATTTTATTTAAATGTGTAAAGCACAAAAACCATATCAAAAATTACTTAATAATAGGGTTATCAAAACTATTACTTAATTAAAATTAAATGAGTTGTATGCTTTGTATAATTAATATTTATATATTTTTGTATTACAACATTAATTAATTATTTAAATAATTGTTTTTAACTATTAATAAAAGTTTTAATTTTAACGCAAAACAGTATGTTATACAGTATAATGTACAATATAAATGCAATATAATGTATGTTATAAAGAGTAGTTAAATAAAGGTAAATACTAAATACATAATACATTGTTACAAAATATATGATTATTATTATTTTGTTAAACTAATTGTGCACTTTGTACCGAGGCACTTTGCCTCGAGGCATTTTGTACCAGACAGATTAGTCATACTCTTTTATCAATTATAAAAATTCATGTTATATTTAAATTACATAAATTGTGGAATAGTAAAAATATATAAGTACGGTAAATATAAATCACACTACACTAAAAACATATATAATAAAATATGTTAAACATTAAAAAAATATTATGCTAAGAATATATACAAATTTTAAAAATATTGTTTTTATTAAATGGCAAAAAGTTACGACATATCTGACTATTTTGGTCTTATATCACATGCCGTTATATTTTGTTTTAATAATAACTTACCCCCTGCTTAGAAGAACCACTTAAGATTAAAAATATAATAAATTTGTATCTGGTAAGTATAAACCTAATTTAAAACAACCTTATAATAAATAAGCCAATACTAATATTATATCTTAAACTGTGTTATCATTACTGATATTGAGATTAATTCAGCAGGGATTAAAAACGTAAAATTCACCTGAATGCACTAGTTTGAAAATTATATAAATTAAATATACAAACAGTGAACATTTAAAAAACAAGTTTAAAATAACATGTCTGAAATAACAATTTTACTGTGTTTGATAACCATTTCAAGCTTGGTACACACAATTGACCTAGACGCTAAATACATAGCATGTTTAGATCGTATACCTAACGATGTAGCCGAGGCTTGTCTCTACTCAAAACTGGGCCCATCCAGAGCTGGCGATGATAAAGACCGACATCGTATTTGTTGCTCCATATGGTCGGTGATTGACTGCGGCCGACAATATGAACAGGTTAGTTTTTATTTTGTATTTTTGAATACCTTTATACATTATAATATATACTTTTATTATTAATTGTCAATATTTCATGTATATTTTATTTTAACTTGTTTATTTAGTAATTAATTTTTTATTTGTTTATGATAGAAATATTGTGCCCCAAAGGAGATTGATGAGTTTGAACGCCAGGCCGAAAACTATATTGCAACCGACTACGAGGGTATTTGCGCTAGTTATAAATATCATCATGTGGAGAATTGTTTGAGAAATTCAACTATGTAATTTATAAATTATATGTCAATATTAATTTTAAAAATAAATATTAAATGTTTTAAGTAACAAATTAAAAATGGTCACATAATTAGTTTAGTAAATATATTAGAGAGAGAGAGAGAGAGAGAGAGAGAGAGAGAGAGAGAGATTATTTTGCATAAACTGTTATTGTATAATAATATAAAATAAAATATAATGTTTTTTATTAAATATAATTACATTTTGGATGATAGACGGCAAAACAAATATAAGTCCCAAATAAATATAATTTTATAATTATAATTAGTGTTTCAACTTGTATTTCTATATAGGTTCATGATTAATTTTACATACTTAATTAAAAATTTTAATGGCCTAACTTTTTATACATTTTGAAATTTTAGATCAAAATACATATCGCAGTAATAAAAACATTTTTACTAAAAATTTTAGTGAGCTGGTGCATTCTGGCGCTGGGGTTTGGAGATAAATGTAAATTATTATTAATCCTCATTTGTGTTGCTACGTTAGCTTATCACATTTATTGCTAAAATTGAACATAGATGTTACCCACAAACCATAGAATAACCCCAAAAATAATTTAAAAATAAACTACAAGTAATTGACAATAATACTAAATAATTAGATATTTAACATAAAAGGATAATTTATAAATAAAATGTTAAATTACTTAATGTAAAAATAGTTTTCATTAGTATTTACAATTGGTTGTGTGTTATGTGCACTGAAGAGTCTAAACCGACAAAGGTGCTTTATCAATAATTATTACAGAATAGTACATTAGCAATTTATAACATTAACCAAGAACATATTTAATACATAATAAATTATTAATAACATATACATCCAGTTTGGCGTTTCCCTATTTAGTATATAACAATGTAAAATTTTATTGCATGTACTATTTGCTAACAACATTTTTATGAATTTATTTATACATTGTTATAAAATTTATTTAATTATTTATTTTATGCAGTTAAAACTTAAATTCGCTTTTACACAAAAATAGCATTTAGTTAAAAAGTAAATGTAATTAAACACACAACATGTTGGCGTTAAATGTGGTAACAATAAAAATGCTATAAGGTAGCGATCGGCTATGGGCCAATCTAGGGGCCAAATATTATTTTAGTCATTTATAAATTATAATGTGCACTAATACGAGTGGTGGAGTTTAATAAAATGTGTGATTTATATTAATATTAAACACAAATTCTCTATGCTTTAAAACCATTCATTTATATTGAGAGGGCAAGTGATGATTGGTTTAATTGTAACGTATATAGCGTATCATAATTCAATATAATTAAAAGTTCTGCCGATTCGTACTATAACAGCATATTTATTGTTGCCACATTTAACTATTGGCTAAATAACCTTTGTGCTGATATTATATAATAAAATGGCAACATGGTCATTTCGAGCATTTTGTAATTTTTATTAATTGTTTATTCACAAATTAATTTTCATCTAAATGAAATAATTTTTCTAGAACTTTTACCAAGTTCATATAAATTATATTATAATATTTTATGACAACATTTTTGAATTTATTAATTTTGTTTATGTTCCATATTAACTACTATTGATAAGTGGTGCCACATTACCTTAACGCATTTTGTGAAAAATCTGATATAGCCAATAAAATCATTTTGTTTTTTAATTTATTGGCAAAAGTTGTTTATACTGGTTTTGAAGTGAAAGTTGCTATGTCAATGCACTTATTAATCCGGATAAAATAGTAGTTATTTTTTTGTTTTACTTCATGCTAAACTTGATAAAATAGTATTAAAATTTTATTTATTTTTGTTTAATAATGAATTTGTAAATGTTTCTGTCAAATAAATTATTAAATTAATATATATTATATAATTAATTTACCTATGTGTTTTATTGTAGTGATATTTGCTAAATTTTGAATAAATAAAATATATTTATTTTTAATTAATAAAAGTCAATGAATAAATAGAGGTAAGCAATTATTATTAATTATGTAATTTAATTTTAGACAAGAATTATATATAAAATTAATTTATAAAAATACATATAAATAAATAATTTCAAAAATTATGAACAATATATTTTTATAACCTTGTTTTAGTCACAAATAATAAATTATATAATGTTTAATTTTTTAATATATAATAATTTATTTTAATGAATACAAGATTAAAGCAAACTTAATTCCTTAGTAAATAAAATTATATAAATAAATTAGCAATAAAAAATAATGAGCTACTTTCAATACCGGCATATTTAAGATAATTATTTATTTATATAAGTAAAAATATTTTTTGAGCATATATACATTAATTAATAAATTCACAATGTTGATTATCAGAATAATCTGTCCTAGGAATATTCCTACCATAATGAGTCTAGACGACATATACATGCATGTAATATACAGTATGTATTATATCGCCGACTCAATACCCATAACCAAATATATTCAATGTATTTCTATGCATATGATTAGTCTTTGCAACCGAATTATACCGTATATAAGATAATCTCTTCGTGTAAAACATGTGCACTTCTTATTGCATACGTCGACCACTATATGTAATGATATAATTATAAGTAATCCCTAATAAACATTGTGTTAAATGTTTTTAAATGAGTGGTAGTTATTGAGTCGTAAGTTTAGGACTAAATAGTTTAGGTCTTAAGTATACATTATTGACTACAGTACTCAACCTTGGTGATCTCGGTGATTGCGATAACTTGACATCCGTGTGTTTTTAATTTAATAATGTTATTAATTTTGTTATAATTAAAATTAAAGTTAAATGCTAAAAACTAAACACATTCTGACCATTTTAATTGCACAATATATTGTAATAGCAAAAACTATATTAACATGGTATCAGAAATGGCGATTGCGTGGACAAACCTTAGGGTTAGTGTCGGGTCGGGAGTGTTGGGCGGAAAAGAAAAGCGGATATTGTGTGGCATTTGCGGTGCGTTTACGTCGGGATCGTTGAACGCATTGATGGGTTCTTCGGGTTCCGGGAAATCAACGCTTTTAAAGTGTTTGAATGCAAACAATGAATACGTATTGAGTGACGGGTCGGCAGTATATGTGAAAAGTGGTCAACAAATCAGTAAATGTTTTATATATCANAAAGAAAAGCGGATATTGTGTGGCATTTGCGGTGCGTTTACGTCGGGATCGTTGAACGCATTGATGGGTTCTTCGGGTTCCGGGAAATCAACGCTTTTAAAGTGTTTGAATGCAAACAATGAATACGTATTGAGTGACGGGTCGGCAGTATATGTGAAAAGTGATCAACAAATCAGTAAATGTTTTATATATCAGGACCAAAATGAGCGCATAATGACGGGTCTGACTGTAGTTCAAGCACTAACCTATTCATCAAAGCTAAAAAACAGTGACAAATGCAGTGTTGAAATTATTGACCACAAGGACAATGTGTTGGTTCTGATGAAGGAGTTGCTAATCAGTGATATCGCAGATAATGTGATAGAAAAGTGCAGTTCCGGACAAATCAAACGCATTTGCATTGCATTGGAGTTGACATCAGTTGTTAAGCCATACCTACTGTTCATCGATGAGCCGACCACTGGTCTCGACACACACTCAGCACTCACTGTATTGACAAATCAAACGCATTTGCATTGCATTGGAGTTGACATCAGTTGTTAAGCCATACCTACTGTTCATCGATGAGCCGACCACTGGTCTCGACACTCACTCAGCACTCACTGTATGTTAAAAGCAATTATAAATAAATTTATTTTATTTTTAAAAATAATTTAATTTAACAGTTAATTCACTGCTTGAAAAAAATGTCCCGCAATCACCATATGTCAATCATTGCGTCCATACATCAACCGAGCAATGATTTATTTCATATGTTTGATACGGTGTATGTGTTAGCAAAAGGAGGGGTTTGTCTGTATTCAGGAGTTCCGCAACAATTGAGACAACATCTGAGCGATTGTCACATTGAGTGCAATGAAAATCAAGTGCCGATTGAAGTGTTGATTAAATTGAGTTTCAATGGACTGATGAATACAAATGTGAAAACACTTTGCGATAAAACACGTGAATTGACTGTCAATACGGAAAATATGATTAAAATTAATAATGGATTTAAATTTGTTGGCAAAAAGTTTAAAGTAATTGATTTCGTATACCTATTGACCAGATTTATACACAGAAATTATGTTAATAATTATAATAGTGTTATGAAACAATTGTTATTATACACCGGGGTGATTTTATTCATGGTTAATTGTTTCAACAAAGATATGGCAAAAATTGACGGTTGCGTCGATTTTAACGTAACAACAAATCAAACATGTATTCAGATTGAAGACGAAAAAAGTATCCTGGCCCAACTGCAAGCTTTATTATATTTTTCATCAATGATAGTCCTATGGATACAAATTACAAACATTTGCAACAGTTTTAGCGCTGATATGAAAATAGTTCTCTCGGAGAATAATAACAGTGAGTGACTATAATATTATTTATTGTCCTTGTTTAAATTAATTTATTATTATTAACTAATGAAATAAAATATTTATTTGTTAGATAATGTAACTAGTTACTAAATTAATTAATATAGTTTAAAAATTAATATTAAATTTATAAATACTAAATATATTGCATATTCTAACTAATATACTTAACAGATAATTTTGTATATTTAAATAAATTTTTTATTTATTTATATATTTCAGATTGGTACAATTCACATCTATACTTTTCTGCTAAATTCATATGTGATTCACTATTAATTATAATAAATGCATTGATTTTTGCATTTATATTGCAATATTACATCGATATTCTAAGAGAACCGCACCTGATATACAAGTCATTATACATTATTATAATGTCATTTCTATGCACACAAGCCTTCGCTTCAATACTGGGTATCCTATTATATAATTATCAAAATCTAGCACTTTTTGCGGCTATATTTCTATCGACAGGCTTTATAACGGGAAATAATTACGTTATTTTAATTAAAGATCTTCCACCTATGTTTAAAATTATTACTGATTTTAATTATTATAAATATTTTTATAACTCAATGTTAGTAATAATATACAGCTATAACCGATGCCCAAGTGGTTACCAGAATAAAGTGCTAATTGAGTTTGGTCTAGCTAATGAGCCAGAGCAGTTATATGAGACTTATGCTAGGTGGTACATTTATTTATATTTGTACTTTTTATTGTGCCAATACATTTCATTTATTGCTAAAACAACTAATTTCTCAATAAGTTTGAGAATGTTTTGGAAAAACAATGAGATTAACGACTATAATGTGGAGACAATAGACATGAATAATGCAACTGATTTTAATGTTGACAATATTGTTACCGATATGCAAAATAATGAAATATTTATTGCCTGGACTAAGTTGTCGTTTTCCATTAAGACAATAATGTTTAATACGGCACCGAAAATTGTGCTAGATAATATTACCGGTTATGCAATGAGTAATTCATTGAACGCATTGATGGGACCGTCGGGTGCGGGAAAGACAACGCTATTAAAGTGTTTGAACGGACAAAACAATCGGGGGTTAAGTCACGAAACAAATATTTACATCACTAATAGCCGAACAGTGAAATCATGTTTTATAAGATCGGATGTTTCCGAACAGTTATTATCGGGACTGACTGTACGACAGACACTGTTATACGCGTCGAGACTCAAGAACTCGCGGATAACGAGTCAATTAAATCACAATAAAATTGTTTGTAATTTGATGTCAGAACTGGTGATCAGCGATACGGCAGACAATAGGGTCGAGACGTGTAGTGGAGGCGAACAAAAACGTATAGTAATNTGTTTGTGATTTGATGTCAGAACTGGTGATCAGCGATACGGCAGACAATAGGGTCGAGACGTGTAGTGGAGGCGAACAAAAACGTATAGTAATTGCCTGTGAATTGACTTCTCATATAAAGCCTAATATGTTATGTATTGACGAACCGACGAGTGGTTTGGACAGCAATGCCGCCGAAGTGGTCAGTCATCTAAATATTTATATTTAATTAAATTATAATACTTTTATACATTAATAATTATATAATTGTATTTTATTTTTAGGTAATAAATTGCTTAAAATTGTTGTCCAGAACACATGAGATGACAATCATTGCGTCTATTCATCAGCCAAACAATGATTTGTTGCATATGTTTGACAACATCTATGTGTTGGCCAAAGGAGGGGTCTGTCTGTATTCAGGAGTCGCTCACCATTTGAGACAACATCTCAAAGACAATGCCATTGAATGCAATGAAAATCAAGTGCCGATTGAAGTGCTATTAAAACTCTCCTCAAAAGATATATCAAATAAAAACGATAACAATATTGAAGAGAAATCTGGTATTTATAACAATGGCATTAATTGCAATCAAATACTAGTGTCAAACATGCGGCCAGTGTTTGGTTCGCTGAGTATATCAAAGAGATTCAGTTTTGCGGACTTGTATTACCTATTATCCCGTTCCCTAACCCATACATTCCGGTGCGAATGGGTGTCACTATTATTGCAATTTATATGCTTTCAAATGTTGGGTATTGTTATGCTATACGGTTTCAGTGCCGATATAATACTACCCGACGGGTGCGTTGAGCTCGAGTTCGGGGCCGAGTGTTACCAAACGGAGGCCGAGATAAGGGACGAGATATTAATCAAGCAAAACATCAAATATAACTGCTGTTTACTCCTTGCTGTGCCTTTCGTGGTGTTGATCGTAATGTCGGTCACTTTTGGGTCCAATTTTCGTGTATTCCGTAGTCAACAGCAAAATGGTAATTAAATCAAATCATATTATTGTTTATTATTATGGTAAACATGATTTTGTTTTTTACATAGGTTGGTACAGCACAGGCACATACCTTTGGTGCCGTACAATCGTAGACCTGATCCCCATATTTATAGCTTTGCCAGTATTTTTGTGGATCACAAACCGATACAATACAATCACGTTCTTTATGTTTACGTTTGCGGTTATATTACTGGTCATTATATGTACGCAAAGTGCCGCCCAATTGGCGTCCCTATTGTTTATGAATGACACTAAAGTGGCACTAATTGTCGCTATATTGATACATGCTACAGTATTTTTTATGAGCAATAGTCTGATCCCGGTGAAAGAGCTACATTATATTATGCAAGAATTAAGTCACCTATCCTACATTCGACACGCGTACGAATGCATTATTATCATGTTGTATGGCTTTGACAGATGTCAGGGTAATCAAGTATCGACCGTATTGTACGGCATGGAAATTGATGATGATCTGTTTTGGCCTAATATGATCCGATTGGTCGGTGTTTGCGTTTTGCTAAAAATGTTGGCATTTATGTGTATTATTGTTAAAACACATAAATTTGAACGCAAATCCGTTACTATGAATAATGATAATGATATTAAATTCAATAATTTTAAACAGTATAACCAAATATTTTAATGTTAAATAAGTTTGACTAGTTTTTAATTTAGGTATTTTGTTTATTAAAGATATAATTTAAAAATAATTATCAAGCTTTTAATACAATGTATTTAATGGTATAGTTAATTAAATATTATGCACATTTTTAATATTAATTGTTTAAAGAATATCAATCAAGGTAATCTCTGACGTAAGGGGTAATAATTTTTAATTTAATTCCTGTATCTTAATTAATAAACATAAAATGTTTTAAACTTATCAACTGAACAAAAAATTGTATATTAATAAATTATCAATAATACTGTTAAAAAAGTAATTGATTTTTATGATTATGTATATTTAAAAGGTTTTTAAACATTTTCATATTATTTTATAACAAATTAATTATTTATTAGTGTTTATAATTATTGATATGTTATATGCACTGAACAGTTTAAACAGACTAAGGTCGTTTATCAATCATTAATGTAGGATAGTGCATTAACATTTTATGACCTTATCCAAGGGCAAATTTAATTGCATAATAAAATATTGGTAGAATATACATCCAGTTTGGATTTTCCCTATTTTGTATATATCAATGTAAAACTTTATTGCATGCACTGTAATGCCAACAAAATTTTTACCCACATTTCTATGAATTATATTTGAATGTGTTAAATTATTTAGGTTATGCAGTTAGAGTAAAACTACTTTTAAATTTAAAAAATAGCATTTTTGGCAAAGAGTAAAATCAATTGAACAAACGATATACTGGTGTTAAAAATGAGAGGCCCTTGTTACATTTTTTATTACTCAAATGGCCTTTGGGCTGATATTGGCTGATAAATCCAAATATAACCTTAATGTGATGAGTTTAGTTGTACTTTCAGGAAAGTTTGTTTTATCGTAGAATCTGATCATCAGTAGTTCAATAGATATTTTATCATTTTAAAAAATTCTACATGTTTTTTAGTTAATGTGTTATAAGTTATTACATGATAACTACGGTAGTATCTTATGTAATTATATTAATTGTTATGAAAAATTTAGACAGAATATTAATGTTTTATTTTAAATGATAATGTTTATAAAAATAAATAATTAAATAAATTGTGGTGTAATATTGTTGCAACATTAAATAAAAGTAAATTATTTTTCCATTAAACAGAATTTTAATAATTAACTTATTTTGAATGTATACAGTTTAACTAAACAAAGTCTGCTTGATATATACAAATACAATAATTAATGGCATCAGAGATGGCAATCGCGTGGACAGACCTTAGGGTTAGTGTCGGGTCGGGAGTGTTGGGCAGGATAGAGAAACGGATATTGTGTGGTATTTCGGGTGCGTTTACGTCGGGATCGTTGAACGCATTGATGGGTTCTTCGGGTTCCGGGAAATCAACGCTTTTAAAGTGTTTGAATGCAAACAATGAATACGTATTGAGTGACGGGTCGGCAGTATATGTGAAAAGTGGGCAACAAATCAGTAAATGTTTTATATATCAGGACCAAAATGAGCGCATAATGACGGGTCTGACTGTAGTCCAGGCGCTCACCTATTCATTAAAGCTAAAAAACAGTGACAAATGCAGTGTTGAAGTGATTGACCACAAGAATAATGTGTTGGTTTTAATGGAGGAGTTGCTAATCAGTGATATCGCAGATAATGTGATAGAGAAGTGCAGTTCCGGACAATTCAAACGCATTTGCATTGCATTGGAGTTGACATCAGTTGTTAAGCCATACCTACTGTTCATCGATGAGCCGACCACTGGTCTCGACACACACTCAGCACTCACTGTATGTTTTCATTTAAATAAATTAAATATTATATTATACTTAACATTAAATTATAATTTAACAGTTAATTCAATGCTTGAAAAAATTGTCCCGTAATCACAAAATATCAATCATTGCATCCATACATCAGCCAAATAATGATATTTTTCATATGTTTGATACGGTGTATGTGTTAGCAAAAGGAGGGGTTTGTCTGTATTCAGGAGTTCCGCAACAATTGAGACAACATCTGAGCGATTGTCACATTGAGTGCAATGAAAATCAAGTGCCGATTGAAGTGTTGATTAAATTGAGTTTCAATGGACTGATGGATACAAATGTGAAAACACTTTGCGATAAAACACGTGAATTGACTGTCAATACGGAAAATATGACTAAAATTAATACTGGATTTAAATTCATTGAAAAAGACTTAAAACTTATTGACTTTGTATACCTATTGAGTAGATTTATACACAGAAATTATATCAACAACTATAAAAGTGTTTTAAAACAATTACTTTTTTACATTTTAATTAATCTATTTATTGCTAATTGTTTTAACAAAAACATTGGCAGAGTTGACGGTTGTGTGCAATTCAATGTACAGACAAACCAGACCTGTATTGAGATTGAGGATGAAAAAAGTATCCTGGCACAATTGCAGACCTTGTTACACATGTCATCAATGATAGTCTTATGGATACAAATTACTAGTATCTGTAATAGCTTTGGAGCTGATATGCGGACAATACTATCTGAAAATAATAACAGTAAGCAAATATAATAATTATTTTAATTTTCTAAACTATAACAATAAATTAATATGCTATGCAATTTGCATGTGTAATTTTTTTTTAATATTAATTATTAATTTCAGATTGGTACAATTCGCACTTATTTTTCTGGGCTAAATTCATATGTGATACCCTACTTATAATAACACAAGCGTTGGTCTATGCATTTATATTGCAATATTATATCGATATACGTGTTGAACCTCATATATTATATAAATTTTTCTATGTAATAATAATGACATTCCTGTGCACACAGGCATTGGCATCAATACTGGGCATACTATTATCATACAACCAAAATCTAGCACTATTTACAGCGATTTTTATATCTTGCATTTTATTGACAGGCAATAATTATTTTGTTTCTATCAAGGATCTTTTGCCAATAATTCAAATGTTCACTAATTTTGGTTATTATATGTATTTCTATAACTCGATGTTAATACTAATACACGGCTATAACCGATGTCCACGTGATTACCATAATAAAGTGTTAATTGAATTTGGTCTAGATGCTGAGCCAGAGCAAATAGTTGACACTTACGCTAGGTGGTATATTTATTATTATGCGACCCTATTGTTAGTCGAATATATTTCATTCATCATAAAAACATGCAATTTTTCAATAAATGTGGCAAAACTTAGGAAAATATTTAAACTCAAAGACAATGAAATTAATGTTTATAATGAAGAGTCAATTGATATGAAAAATACAAATGACTTAAATGTTGATAATATAGTTGTGGATAAACAAAATGATCAAATATTCATCGCTTGGAATAATCTAACATTTAGTGTCGCAAAATCAATGTGTAATAATTCAAAGAAAATCATCCTAGATAATATTAGTGGTTGTGTACGTGTGAACACATTGAACGCATTGATGGGACCGTCGGGTGCGGGAAAGACAACACTATTAAAGTGTTTAAACGGACAAAATAATAGGGGTTTAAGCGATGGGTCAATGATTTACTCGATTAATAACCGCAACATTAGGTCATGTTTTATTAAATCTAATGTTTGGGAACACCTGTTGTCGGGACTGACTGTACGACAGACACTGTTATACGCGTCGCGACTCAAGAACTCGCGGATAACGAGTCAATTAAATCACATTAAAATTGTTTGTGATTTGA